GGGCAGGATTTATAACAAGTTAAAAATAAAAGGAAAGTACAATTAACTCATCTCTGTGTACCCCTCCATCTGATCATCACTCTGGGGACCTGAAGTCCAGGAAATAAACAGTCTAAAGCTACCTCTGGAATCACTTTTATTTTACAAGACTGGAAGGAGGCAAGAGAAAGGCAAGACAAGATAAAAGTCAGTCTCTGAAAACTTTTTTCAAATTTCCTAAGCAACGGGGCATAAAAACAAATATTATCACACTCCAGCAAGTATCAGCAGGGTACTAACCTGTGTTCAGCACTGCAAGCCTCTCCGCAGGGGAAATGTTCCTGCAAAGGTATTCCCCTGCGTTTGTGCCTGCCTCCTGCTTCAAACCCAACAAGAAGAAACAATGTAAGCACCCAAAGAAAAGGAAGGGCTGTAACCCGGAACATTCCACCATCATGAAAACCACCTCAGTGGTACATGTGGTGCAGGTGCTCTAGCTCAGGTGTCAGGTAGAGGACGCACCTGCCTTGTGGGGAGACATGCAGTCTTCCTGCTCTCATGAGCTCTCCTAACATCACCTGTCAAGAGGAAATAGACACAGGATGCTGCAAAAGTAGTTTGGCAATTATGCATCTCAACAGGTCAAAGTAGGTAAAAGAAGGAATGGAAGAATGACTACCTTTTATAGGTCCCACCACCCTCAGTCAGAATTTTTCTAACTGCTACCTCTAAGTCCTTTTCACCATATTTATTATTAATGGAAAGGAAGGGTTTCTTTTTTAATATAAAAATCTCGAAAGGAAAGCAGGTTTTGCTTATTTCTCTTTCATCCAATTTCTATTCTTTCTTTCTAACTAAAGAAATAGCCCATTTTTAAAAAATAAATACATATACATGAAATATTTATCATGTGGGCATAAACAAAAATTCAACATATTTAAATCAGAAAGTGCTTTAAAACTCACTATTTTCAGCAATATTTTTTTAAAATCAGATTGGTTTTCATCTACATTCCAATGAATACACAACGTTTTTTCCTAAGTTGGGATTAATACAATTTACAATTTCCATTTGTAACAGCTAGAGGCAAGCTGTACTCAAAGGAATGTCACTAAAAGAATGTTTTCTCAGGCATAGAGGAAACACCTTTAAAAGCATATTTCTTTACAAGGTTTTTCTTTCTAAAGAAAGTTAATTATAAACTATTTTATGGTGATTGAGTACAGCTGGGTTTCACATTTGGAAGCTTTTTCACACTGTAAATCTGAAAATCAGACATGAACTTCTAGGTGATGTTTCTGATTTTAATATGTAAAGAACAAGAAACTTTGCTTAAAAAACAGAGAAGATATTAATAGGGAATTCAGTTAATACCATTCATTTTAGACAGTATTTATACAGGACAGAATTAAACTTCTAAAGACATTTATGTTGGAAAAACTTGAACCTTTTGAAATAGGATAAAGTGTGACCCCCCCTCTCTGGATAACATAATAAAGTTTAAAAAACGGTGGAGAATTCTATTAAGTCCTGGCCCTGGAATGGGGCTAATAAGTTCTTCTAATGGTCACTGGCTGCCCTTTCTCCTGTTAAGCTGTGGAAAGAGAACATGGGCAGGGCACCTGTGGCAGCACTGGAAGGCTGCCTGGGCATGTGGGAACATGGGTTTTTCATTCCTGCATCTGCTAGGCACAGATATTCAAAATGGTGAAAGCCAGCTCAAATTGTCAAGGGAAGCTGAGGAATGTTTAAGGATGGGTTAGTACTGTTCGAAATGTCCCCTAAGTGCCCTGAATAAACTGTGCTGATAATGGGAATGCAACAGTGCTCTGAACCTAGTGCTACCCAAAGTGTGGAATGCTGCGGCAGCTCTGTGCACTCTGTACCAGTTCACCCCAAGGCCTTTGCCGTGCCACCCCTGCTGTAATGGTTGGCAAGTCTTAGACTACTTAAAATGGAAAATTAAGTGGAAAGCCACGTCCTCCTTTCTTCAGGCCTTATGCAATTTGAAACATGGATCCTCATCAGTCCATTTTACAACCTGCGGCCAGGCCTTCTGAAGCAAGCAACCAAGGTATCTTACCTTCACCTCTGCCTGCCAGGATTGCAGTGCTCTTAAAACATTTTGCTCTGTTAAACATTTAAGATGCCCAAAAGCTGCCAACCCCAGGCTATACCTTACAAAGTCAGCATGTTCCTCAGTTGGCAAAAGGCATATCCCAGCCCCAGTAATCATCACAGAACTACAAATGCATCACAGGTGCAGCTCCACTGAGAGGCGGCAATGGAACCTGCCTTCCCCACACTGACTTAAGAGGAAGCTCTTTCCCTCCATGTCTCCACCACTCCTGCCACTTCAAAGGTCTGTGGGTGAAGATTTCCAGGAGAGGAAATTCTTGCTCCTCTTCCTTCTCCTCCCTACCACACCTCCAATGTGTCCCTTGGCAACAGGTTCTAATTCTGCAGGTCATTGCAGATAGAAGACAGAGGCACATTGTCACCAGCACAGTGGTTCCCTCATTACCCTATGGACTTTGTCCCTTAAAAAAAAAAAATAGCTAATGCAGTAGCAAGCATGATGTCCAAGAGTCAGGGTGTTCCAGGAAAGCGCGACTTACCAGCCCCTTCTTTACTTCTTCTACTTTCATCTCAACTTACACAACTTCCCATATTCACCTGAGTTAAATTAACACACTGGCTTAAGCCAAGGAACAGAGGACAGTTTCAATTATATGCAAGGCACTACTTTATTAGGAAGGCAGAGCTTAAAACACAGATGTTAAAAAGCTTCACAAAGTCAGCTTAGAATGGGAATCATTCACAGTACTTTATAAACTAACAAAATTCTCCCTCTTTCAGTGCAATTTGAGAGTTGCAACAATTCTTTCATTTCTCACTCCCAACACTGCTATGAACTCAGGAGATAATCAGGGTAATATGGGATCCCTGTTCATATAGAAACAAAATCAAACAGTACAGTAAGTACATTGAAGGAAAATGTTCAGGTGCTACTGGGAGCACGTATGATCACTCTGGGGTTGGCAGGCAGGCCATTAAATCAAATATTAGTTAAGAGCCTCCTGCAGATCAATCTTTCATTTCAATACATAAAGCCAAAACCACAACCTTTCTTCAGTTTAAAATACATAAAAATTTTCAGCATTGTATCTCATTGTGGGGGGGGGCATTAGGAATGGGTGGATCTCTAACACTGAAACCATCTTTTAACTGTTAAGACCAAAAAATTGACTTGGTTACAACTGGAGGCATGGAATGCCAATGGTCAGAACATGCAATAATAAGAAAAAGCTCGTAAAAACTAAAAAAGGTAGCATCGGCCAAACCCTTGAAGGAGATAAAATTTCACAAGAGCCAAGAAATCTGAGAAGAAAGTCATCTGGCTACTACAGAATTCATACCAAATGCCTAGCCATGGTGGTCAGCTCACAAAGAGACCGGGGATGGCAACAGAAGTAGTGCTGGCACTATACAAGCAGCTGGGGAAGTGGTAAGAGGAAAAATACGGAATTAGCAAAATAAACTCACTGGAAGGCCTTGAAGGTGAGTAAAAGAATTTAAATTTGGTACAAGAGACTTATCCTCCATTCAAATGAAATGTCCAGAATAAGCTAATCTATAGGACTGTGGAACCTGGGGGGAATGAAGAGTGACTTCTAACAAGTGCAGCGTTTGGGGAATTATGAAAAAGTTGTAAGCTCAGATTGTGGCGATAGGTACACACTTTTGAACATATTTTAAAAATTCCATGGTTTACATGGTGTGGTATGTGAATTGCATATTGAGAAAGCAATTAAAGAAAAACGAAACAAAAACCCACTGAAGAAAGAGTCTGATCCCAGTGAAAAGTGAGGGAAGAAGCTGCCTTCCTGAAGCTGAGGGGCCCTCCCTGTACAGGGGAGCTGCAGTCCACTTCCAGACCCTGGTGTCATCTCCAGAGTCCAAACAGGATGGACCTACAACCCAGTCTGTCAAATTACACTGCAAAGAAAGTGCAAATGGCTAAAGTAAATAAGGAGCTCAAATGCCATTCCATTTGGTTACATATTAATGTGGAAGGAGAGTTCGGTCCATCATAAAATATAAATAACCCTTAAAGAGGTGCACAACTCAGCAAAAGGGAAGGTATTAAATGTTCAGAAGAGCTCCACTGCAAAATCAAAACCTAATCACAGAGTAGCAAGGGCCTAAACAATCCGTTCCACAGTGCTCAATAGGTCCGCTACCTGAAAGGCACCAAGCTGGAGACCAGAGACATACAGACACTTCAGTCCATATGTAGAAATGTATGGGCAGTTTTTCTGGGATAGGATGTAAAGGTAAGGGCTCTTAAATTCCCTAAGAACACCAGGGTCTAGTAACTACTAAATCAAAATCCTACTTTTCTAGAGAAGAAAAGTATGCAAAGAAATCAAACATTGCTCAAGTCACCTAGGACCCCGTCTTCTAACCCTTAGGTCAGAAGAATCACACCCATGTGTGGGTGTGGGCGTATGGGGGCTCAGAGAAGTCTTATTTAGAAAATCTTGGCCTCAAAGGACCAGCCAGACTCCATTATAAGAAACCAGAGAGCACATGCCTGGACTGCTGCTGGGAAAGGAAGTGACCTTGAGATCAGGCTGGGAGACTTCTTCAGACACAGAGATTTATTTCACTGCCCTGCTATGTGCCCTAGGAGGACCCAATGCCCAACAAGTGGAACTGACTGGTCAGGAGAAAGGAATTTTGTATCTTCACAGGCCCGATCTGATGTTTTTTTTGTTTTTTTGTTTTTTTTTTTAAACCACATGAGCCCAATATAATCAAATAAACATCAAGGAATGTAAAAGCTGATGCTTCAGTTCTCAGCTGCACACGGACCCAGAGATGTCTTGCAAAGAACAGGGCAGGCCCTGGCAGATTGACCTTCACAGAAAACACTAAAACCCTTTTAAGAAGTGCCTGGTGAGTGCTCTGGTTGATGTGCATCGAGCCATTACAGTACCGAGCAGTGTGCTTCTTACCTATAATTCCACTGTCCTTGCTTTCCAGGGTGGAACTAGGGCTGCTAATGGTCTCACAGGGACTTTTGTTGGCTGCCGTCTTGCTGACACAGCTATTCAAGGTTGAGCAGGGGCTATCGGTGCTAGGAGATGCGGTGCTGCTTGTTAGTGTGGAGCAAGGACTGATGCCTTGACTCAGAACTGTGCACTGCAAGACGAACGGAAGGAGGCGTTAGTGTGGCTTACACAGGATACTTCAACACATGCTTTTGTTTTTGATCCTAAAATAATAAAACTGAAAAAAAGGAACGTGGAAGATAGTTTTTGAACTCTGAGGAAGACAAAAATAGGCACAGATATGGATGGATATACATATGGTCTTCCAAATGTTTAAAGAGAAGGATCTTTGTGTGGCTTCCCTCCTTTGTGATTTTCTTTTTGTTAAGAGGGAAATCTTAGCAATAATTTACTGAGAAAGCACATTTGTAAAACAGAAATGGCAAACAGGCAGACTTCCTCTCATTTAAAGTCTACAGAAGACAAATGGGTTATTTGACCTCTGTACAAAAAACCCGGGGACTCTGTTTTTGCAATGTTTCATGACCACAGCAACTTGATTCAATTCCGGAAGATTTATGGGCTCTGTGACTGGGAAAGGAGACTGGCAACCACTGCAATCTCAATCAACCCACAATACCTCCCTCACATCCTGCCTCAGAGACCCTCATAGGAGGCAGAAGTTCTAGCCCCTCATTGCTATTCGAATGCGCACGTCTCCGAAGTGCTGCTGCTCCCTTGCACGGGGGAGTGCCTTCCCTACAGATGAGAGCTCATCTCATTTCATCTCAACTTCATCTCCTATAAATCTTTTCCTCACCCCACTGACCCTCTAAAATCCCAACAACTATACCAAAGTAGATAGATGGGAAGAACGGCACTATAAAGATAAAAGTAGTACCATTATAAAGGAATTATTTTAGCCACTTTAATACATGTAGCTAGTCTTCTCTGGGAAGTGACTAGAAGGCTAATGTGGACATTTCCTAAATTCTGCTCCCTTCTTTTCCCACCCACTCACCCCATCTTACAAAAACCTAGAAAAAAACTGTTGCAATAAATTCAATTCACAACAGCCCAGAACTCATTTGACCTAACAATGGCTTTCCCCCTCGTGGCCGGGGGAAGATTGGATTGCTTCATTCATCCTCTGAGCAGATAGGAAATGCAGTGTCTTCCTTGAACATTACCATGGTTTCATTTTTGTCTTCAATGGTTATATGTGTGGCACTTGGGATCCCTTCTCCCAGTAAAAATCCCAGCCTTGTCAACAGTTCTTGAGCTGCCGGTGAACAGCTCGGTTCATTATCGGCCTTTGCTTCTGGAACAAAGAAAGAAAACAATAAAGATGCCCCTCTCGGGAATTTCAGCATTGCATCTGGATGAATTCACACTACAGCTGCTTGTCTGGCACTTTTGTGTATTTTTATAAAATGCACCAAGTCTGACAATGCTGCTTGTCCTCTAGCAGTACATTCTAATTAAGAGACTGAGACAGGTTAAGAAAACAGTAACAGAGGAACTCCAAGGGCAAACGGTGAAATATTTGACCTGAATCAGAAGAGTCTAGTATCCTTGACAGCCTGTTCCTATTTCCATGTCATGTGAAAAATGGGTACTTCAGGCACACCTTTGGGTAAGAAAAGCATCTTCAAGGCTAACTTAAAGAATATAGTGTGGTCAATGCCACAGGAAGCCAAAATAACATACAACCCAAGTGGCATGCTGGCAGAGGTCCAAGATATTCAGAGGTTGGAATGAAACTGAGAGCCAAGTTCTCATTAAACAAGACAGGGGCAGGAGGATTTTGGAGAAAAACTTGCTACACATATTCCACAGCACTGGAGGTCATAACTAAGATTCTAGCTGAAGCGCCAAACAATGACAATCCACACTGAAACAAAGATTTTTTTTTTAAATCCCAGTGAAACATGTCTTCAGAGACTGGATTTAATAATGTACTGTTGTCTGTGCAGAAATAAAGAAAAATCAGTCTGAATTCTCAGAATGCTCTACAGGTAATGCTGGGAAGAAAGGCCTTTCTTGAGTTATCCCTAAAGTTGGTCATTTGGTACTTTGTACCACTTAAAAGAATTTTATTATTGGACTGAATTAAATGTTGAGTTGCAGGTTAACCTTGTAACCAAAAGCCTAAGGATACTTAGTAACAGTTGACAAATAAAATATAAACATCATTCAAACACCCCTGTTACATTTAAATCAGCACAGTAAAAATGAAACAATATACAAAGTAAACTATGCTTATAAGAACTGGAACTTAACATTATGCAACCTAAAATACTGTTGGTTTCTGTTCATTGTCTAGACACCTAGACCCATACATAAATGAACCTAGTTTCTCTAGATACAAAAATCTACACATAATGGGCAGAGGTCTTAAAAAAATAAAATGATGAAACAACAACTCAGTGATGTTACCATGAGCTATCGTTATCACCAACAAAGCTCAATGTTTGCTTTGCCTCTTGTAAGAACTGCAAAAATCAAATTAAGCAGAGATTCGGGAAGATAATCTGAATTATCTTCATTCGCACACATCAGTTTTGCTAAGTCATGTACCCAGAATGGCAGCTACAACGCAAACCAGAGTAGCAGTATCTTCAGAAAAGAAAGGCACCCACCACTTGCTTGCTCTCAAAATCTCTCATGCTTGGGGTAGGAGGAAAAGCTATTTCCAGTTTGGATATTTTTAGTTAGTCTAGAAAACTACAGTAATAAGGTAATTGAGGCTTCATTATTCTGGTCCAAGACAGCCTTGTTTTTAGATCACCTGAGTTAAACTCAGAAGGATCAATGGCCCTGTGCCAACAGAGGGTAAAGGAGGCACCCCAGGGGAAGTGGACCACACCCCTAGTACTCTGCTCCTTAGGTCCCTTCTCACTAGACTTTAAAAAACCACAGTTAGATCCTTAAGTAGATGGGCACCTGGGAAAGGAAGCAGGCTCCAAAACAATCAACACAACCCAGGCACACCCAAGGGCTGAGCCACTCGGAACTGGACCTGTGCCTCCTCCTTCCATCCCTCACCCCTCCCCTGCCCCAAGGCTCAGGCAGGGCAGCTGCTTTATCTTAGGAGGCAGCAGGACCAAAAGGAAGGGCACACATGTGGAGGAAAGGGGGAAGAAGTGGGTGAGGGAGCAGATCTCAGGAGTTTCTCTATTCCACACCCGCTTTCCTGTCCAAACAATCTCCACACTGCTATCCAATTGTGACAGTGCCCCACAAAGCCTAGCTTCTGGTTCAACCTGAAACACTCTGGGGAAAGGGCCAAAAATTACTCCCAGTTGGCAGCTGCTGGGGAGGCAAGCACAGCTCCACAGGCTTGGCTGCCACAAAATGGACCCAACATCAAATAAGGCCAAAGCTTATGGCTCACTTGGAACTCACTTGAAAGCCCAGGATGCTGGGAGTTCCCATGTGCAGGAGAGGAACATCACCATCCCAGCAGACACACTGCCACCTCCACACTGTGCCTGCACAGTTTCGTACCTACATTCTCATTAAAAATAAAAATTTTTTAAAAACCTTTAAAACAATTAGTTATTCAGACACTTCCCCCTTCAGATGAGTTATGGAGCAGTGGCAGTTTCCAGGCTTAGTGGCTGAGCTGGAGAAACACCCAAGTATTGTGGGGGTGGTGTCTTGAGATAGGGTCTCACTATGCAGTTCAGGCCAGTCTTGAACTCACTATGTAGTGCAGGCTGCCCTCAAACTTGTTTTGATCCTCCTGCCTCAGCCTCCCAATGCTGGAATTATAGGTTTGTGCCACATGTCCAGCCCAACTGTCTTTTCACATTATTCTTTCTTCTAAGATATCATCTTAGTGACCTTCTCCTTAAAAGGTTCTGTTCAGTTGGAAGTCCTCAGTCTACATCAAGTCACCTGTGTGATGACTTGCAGGAGGACCTCTGGGGGAAGAATGGCAACACCATTCTGAGAGAGATGAGCTGCCTGGAACTCACACGAATGGGTACACACCACTGCGCAATGGAAATACATTTCTACTTCCACAGTTGTTCACCAAACATCGTCCCTAAAACAACTAGATAATCTCCTTTATGGGAACTATTACTGCAAAATAACCTCTGAACAAAATTCTACTGGGCCACTTTAAATGTAGTCTCTTTTCACTCATGTGGTTAATATTAAATCATTCATTAACAAGGGGCAAGCTTTACCCAGTATCTGAGGGATAATATAACTGGAGATAAGAAAGACCTCATGTCACTTTATGACTCACAGATTTAAATAGCCAAAGGATTTGTGATAGCTGTGTTTGGAGCTAAGAGTAACTGGCCTTGTACTCCCTGGGAATCCAGCAGTAAGGGAGTATTATTCCTCCCAATAGCATGTTCACAGGTTCCTCCTTATCGCATCATGGTGGAAGGCTCACCCATGCATAAAGGTAAAGACAAATTCATGGGCACTTCCTGCCTGCCTCTTTCACTCTACAGACTTGGCTGGACAACGGGGCACAAACACCAAATAGCCACCCCTGAAGTGACTGGCTTCCCAACTGTTGCCATTATAACTTCAAACAATCAGTGGTTTTCACAGTCCTCCTCTACCGCCTCAGAAGACAGGATGCTCTCCTTGCTAAAGCAGTTCTGGGCTGGTCTTATGCTGCTCAGACTCTGAACCTCAATCTCCTCTTCAGTGAGGCGGCCATATCTACTTCCCATAGGTGGCAAGTAATACATGAGAAACACCCAATAAACCACACGATGCTAGAAGAGCTGGTTATTACCTATACCAGCTTTAACGCTAAACACCCATACTTCCTCACTGTTATTTCATTTTCTGGCTTTATAAGTTCACATGTATTTTCAAATATGCTATGTCTCTTACCTAAAAATATAGCTGTTTATAATGACTATGGCCCAAATAGATTTTTATCGACTCCTTATTCAAAACCAAAAAATTTTCTTTTTCTGTGTGCATGCATGTGCTTGCCTATGTGGTGAGTAGTGCTGGGGATTAAATCCAGGGTCACCCAATGCTAGGCAAGTGCTCTACCACTGAACTACATTCCTAGCCAATAAATTCACTCCTCTGTCCATTACCAAGGCCTCAATTTGGCCTGTATGCACTGCTTCACCTCCCATTTAATCTTCCCTGTGGGGAGGGCTGTACCGAGGAATGAATCCAAGCCCTTGCAATGAGTTACATCCCCAGCCCTTTCTAAAATTTATTTTTCACTTTTGAGACAGGACCTCACCACGTTGCTAAATTGCCCAGGTTAGGTTCAAACTCGAAATCCTCTTGCCTCAGGCTCCTACAGTGCTGGTATTACAGACGCGTGCTACTCACCCGGATCATTCCTTCTTCATAAAGTTAAACTCTGTTAGAACTGCAAGGTAAGATCATTCCATTCAGAGAGCCTCTTCCCTCCTCTTACCCTCCTTGCATTCTACAGAGTACTGGGCTTCATCAACAACAGCAGCCATTCACTAGTGACCTTCAACAACCGACTTAATACCAACTTTCTAAGATGGCGTCTGTTAAATGAGACAGGCCATGAACTTGACACTGACCCATTTCCCCTGATCCTAGTCTCTCCCTATCTATGAGATGCCTCTTGCTTAACCTGTCATCCTTGACTTCTAATTATGAACATTTTCCTGCTTCTTTCTGGTGGCTCCTCCTCAGCCATCACCAACTCTCCCTGCCCCCAAATATACAAAACCAGTATTTAGAATGGATCAATTAATGAACCTGCTGTTGCTGTTAATAATTTGTTTCTACACTGCAACACTAAAACATGTTACACAAGTTTTAAAGCTTTTCATCTAACTTACCCCATATTGAAATTGTCACCAAACTTCACCATTCCTTCTTTCAAAGTACCTTAATTAGCCTTTTCTCTTCAATTGTACTGTCATTTAGCTGTAACACCCTACTCCCTCAAATCTAGGTAGCTTTCAGACTGTAGATCAGTTTTCTCATCTGTTTTTATTTTCTTCCTTTTTTTCCCCCCTGAGCTAGTAAATTCTCAAATGTTTTGGCCTCGGACTTACTCTCAAAAATTAACGAGGAATGGGCCAGGGATTTTTATTGCCTTAAAAGTACAAGGTTGTGATTTCAATCCCAGGTACCACCATAAAAAAAAAATAATAATAATGAGGAGTTCAATGAGCTTCGACTATTGAGTTTTGTCTGTCGATATTTATCATACTAGAAATTAAAACTAAGAACTCATAATGTATGTTTACTTTTTTTAAAATAAAAACTCATTACTTAACTAAATTTTAATTAAAAATATACTTTCTACTCAAAAAGTTAGGAAGAAAAGCACTGTTT